CTGTGGGGAGAGTGGAGGTGCATTAACACAAAGTTTAACAACAGAAAACCTCCTTGACTCTTTGAGGTATTAAAGTCATTGTTCAAAGAAAAATCTAATGAACTGTTCCCAAGATATGTTTGATTTCTGAAGTTTGCTTCTTTAGTTTTGCACTGATATATAAGTATTGTGCTAAAAACTACATGCCTAAGGCATCACACACTTGCTTCAAATTGCATGGAGTAATTAATCTACACTATGTAAGTTTTGGGGATTTGGAGACCTCTCTGGTGGAAATATGTAACTGCATGCGTCAGTGCTTCGTACCCCTTCCCCGAGTGGATGAATCTGATGATTGTGAGTGGGTTGGAAAAGAGTTCAAAGAGAACTCAAGTCAAAATCTAGCAAAGGACGTGTCTTCCAAGGATGTAAGTGAAACATTATCCTCACATCTTCATCAGTACAATGTTGCTTTTGCATTTCAGACCTAAATATCAGACCTTCTTTTTGCGTGTGACATCAGTACATAAAGATGTACGACATGGTCCAAAAAACTCCCACCCAACATCTCTGACTTTTAAATTGGTATTTCAGGCTTGAAGTAATCTCAAATAGATTTGCTTATGTGGCTTCTGATGTATGACAACCTCTTATCTGTAAAAATGGATAAAAGTGGAAAACAATCTAGAATCTCAACAATCTAGAAGTTAGGATTTTGTCCACACTCCATTTTATAGATGATAGCAGCACATGTCATTTAGCATCTATTTAAGATTACTTAACAACCTGATTCGGTTTGAAGTGTGTGATGATTTAAGCATGCATGATGAGAAATGATGCCTCTATTACTTGTGAGCTATATTAGCCTCATAGTGCCTGGTGGCCTTGAGTGCAAAACTAAAGAAATATGTCTTAGCTGACCGATAACCTCTGGACTAAGGGGAAAACGCATTTTTTCATGAACTACTGCTTTAAGATCATAGCGCCTTTCATTGACACCTGCAAAACAACAGAGTGCTCCAATACATTTGGCAGGCAGACATCTAAAGTGTGATATTTACCCAAACCAATATGGCTCATATGAACCTCCTCCTCTGCAATTCTTGTTGCTATAGCAGCAAGCAGCATTGCCTTCTGCTGTGCGGGCTGTCATGGTAACGGGTTTTCATACCCACATTTGCTCAAAGTGAGTTTTATATGTGCACACGTTGAACAGTACACTGACAAAAGCCAGTAGTCCAGTAGGAGAGTCCAGGACTCTCCTACTAAATAAAAACGCCACTTTTGATTGCAGAAAAAGAAAAACTTTCAATGGATCGTTTTTAAAAAATCTACTTTTTAAATGAGGTGTGGAAGTGGGAACAACTTTTTAAAGTTTAATGAACCGTCACATGAAGGTTTTAGGAACAACCCTTAAACTTTACATTATGTGAATTTTTAAAATGTTCTTCACCCCCCAAAATTCTCCTTTTCCAACACAGTTCTTTAGGATACCAAAGTGGTTCTTCATGTTTTACCTTTTTTAAGCATGTAGGCCACTGCAAAAGTGTGGAATCTATCAAAGTGGTGGTGCACGAGTTGAAGAAAGACTAACTATCAAATCAGAGAATGTCTCTGATTACAGATTAAGCCAAGTCTTGGAAACACTAAGTGATCAGAAAACCATTCCTAAAACATGTTTCCCAGACATGGATTAAGCCGAGTCTTAGACTAAACTGAACGGCCAATGGTGAATCATTATAGGAAATTCTTTTTAGTATAGGCTTAGGCCTAATTACAGTCTAAGAAACTGGCCTTTGATTCTGTTTTGCATGTCTTGGAATTATGACACATTTGTCCATATATACATGAAATTCAGAGAATTCGGACAAACCAACTGCTCTGTAAACTGCTGATTCATTTCCAGTAAGTAGAAACCACAGCACTGGAGAGAGCCAAGAAAAAAGACTATGCTGTTGAAATGAGAGTCCTGTTGATAGCAGACATAACAATAGTATCATTCATGCATGATTATAATGATGTCGAGAAGGAGCCAGTGAGCACTCACAAGCCTCCTGTGGATAAAGAAGTGTCGATGAAGTCTTGAGATGAACTCAAGGCCAATCACACCCTGAGGCACACTGTGTGTCCGTATTCTGCATTTGTGTATCTCTGTGGTCATGTACGCTTGTCCTGTCAGGCTAATGGGTACTGACCATTTAGCCTTTTGCTTTCCCTGCCTGACCTAAATGCAACCTGGCATTCTTTACACAACAGGCCACTACGGGTTTCAAAGACACACACGTTCCTTTCCCTCGGTACAATATAACATTCTTTTTACTTTTTTATGTGTCTGGGTTAAAAATAGAAATGCAAGTAGCATCCTATAAATAGCAAGGCATATAAGATTGTGCTCATTTTAACAGACTATACTTGCCAAAAGTGAACATCTAAAGCATATTCTGTGGTTTAAAAATGCACATCTACATAATTCTGGAGGCTACAGATACTACATTTTTTCACCTACTCATCTCCACAATTTTACTTGCGTCCAATTCCACCCGCTTGCTAGGTCTCCCCATCACACAATGCTACCAAGCTGGAAGCACATGCAAATTCAACCATTGCAATGTTTCAAACTGCCAAATGCAACATCATAGAACAGCTCAACACGCTTGGAGGAGAACACTAACTACCAATTCTGCCATGTCAGCTAACACATTGGGGAGGCCAATTATGACATCTTGGACTTTGAGCCACGGACAGCTGTGGCACCAGGGGGGATCAAACTTGCAATCACACAATAGTAGGGGCCAGTTTGTTAGCTGAACCACCAACTACGCATACTTTTTAGAGGAAATACAATTTGCAATGTAGTTAAAATTATTACTTTTTTTTTATACTGGAATTACGTCACAATAAAGCCCCGTTTGAGCTGAAGTACTTTTACAAGAAGACTGTTTTCCAATTTAGCCACAATTTACACCAATAATTACTGAGTAATCAATTCATAAAATATTTCTGAATATTGTTCGTTTTGTAGCTGTGGTTATGAACAGTCACAGGGAGAATGTGCACATGATGGTGACTGATTCACAAGAGGATGTACAGAAAGACTTCAAAGCCCTTACAGTCCCAGGCTTATTATATTCCTAAGCTTAATATTCAGTAACAATGCAAACTGACTGAATTACTCTTAAGTAATAACAGTGAAGAACAGATGGCTGGATGCACTGGTAACTCATGGCCACTTAAGATGATGCTCTTAGTTGTTTTATGCTAAATGTTTTATGCTCCTTTCTTAAGCATCTCTGAGCACTGTGATGGAAATAACCCCAAAAAATCTATTTATAATTTTTTCCATTCATATAAAGCAGCTGCCTGAGTTGGGTCCTGGAATGAGTGCTGATGACAAAGACAATCTCATTGGGGGAAACATAATTTCGTTATTCACCCTTGGATAGTTCTAGTTAATTCTGTATTCCATTCGAATGGACTTCATTTAATTAAGTTATATTTGTATAGCACCTTTTACAATGCTCCTGGTTCAGACCCTTAATGAGTTAGCTGAGGGTGACAGTGGGAGGAAAAACGTCCTAAGTGTGAGTCAGAAACACTGAGAGGAACCAAGACTCAAAAGAGGAACCCATCCTGTTCTGTTTTGCACTAGATAGTGGAATTCTGATTTGATTATTCTGACTGGATTGTACAGCATTTTGAACAACATCTGTTATTTTGAATGTGCTGTTTATATGTAGTGCTCTGCAAAAGTCACCCTTCATTTGTTTTTTTCCCTGTGAAAATGGCAACTGAGTAGAAGTCATTCATTTTTGAGCATCAGGAAAAAAACAGAAAGCATATTTTAACAGAAAATTGCACAGAAGCCTCAACAATTAAATACCGCTTTCAGTGTGTCCATTCTTTGCCTTTATTTCAGCTACCATTCTTCCATTCAAGTTCAAGTTTTAAGTTCAGTCTTAGAAGTTGGTTGCATTTTCTGCTTGTCGTAATTAAAGTTAAATCCAAACGCATTAAGTGCTGTCGAGGTCTAGACTCTGGGATGGACAGTCCGTTGTTCTGAGAACACCAGCAGCTTCTTTATTTGTAATTTCCAAATGTTCTTGTTTTATGTCTATTTTCTGTTCTCAGTAATGCCTTTTTGACAGCTACACAAGCTTTCAGACCCATAATGTTGAGCTGTCTTCTCTCAGTGGAAGGATGGACAGAAACTGTGGATTTTTACAGATCTGAAGCAAGAGTGTAGCTTGATTTTCTCAAAGATGAAAGCTTTAAGTACTGTTATCTGATGGTGACAGTTTTGGTGGTCTACTAGGTCTTAGTTGTTGAGAGTCCCATTTTTTCTGAAACTTTTAATTGTTTCTGAGCTCCTTTTTTTCACTTATTTTTCTTTGACTTTCTCCTTCCTTATGCAAGTGGACTGTCTCCTGAAAATTAAATAATGTGTACTGAAAATTAAGTAAATTATGGATGGTCCCTGAGTTTTGTAAAGTATTATACAAAAATATCACCTGACTTAACTTGATATGACATTTATTGTATTAATTATTTGATTATGAATGACACAGGACTTTGGAAATACGTGTATTTAATCAAATGACCATTCCTTATGGGCTCATAACAAAAACATCAATGAATGTGTAAATGAACACGGAAAAATAAATCCCTGCATTATGCACAAGCAAACTTATTTTTTTGTAAATGACTACATTGCTTCTGTAAAAATGACAGCTGATATCTGGAGAAAAGCACTTGTTTTGGACATATAAAAAATCAATCTGAAATCATTGCTGTAAAATAAAAAATATATATATGGGCAGGAAAGGCACATCACTCACACACACACACACACACACACACACACACACACGCATTTGTCTTACATTACAAGTGAGGACTTCAATTGATTTCTATTGATTTTGTATCACTGTAGCCACATAGTACTGCACTAACACCTAAACCCTGACCTTAACCTCAGTATCCAAAAGGCTATTTTTCTGCTCTTTTAGTTTCTCCAAAAAATG